TCCCAGGTATTAGCACTAAGTCACCTGTACCAGGGCAGAAGAACAAGAGCACCAAGTATAACTGCGGATGCATGCCAGGCCCTGCAAGTCACAGGCCCATGTGGCAGGAAGCACATGGCGGCGGGTGCTGGGGAGGTGGCAAAGAACGTTCTCTGGGTGACGCTACCTTGTCAGCACAGCTAATAGCAACCAGTCATGGTGCTATCATCTCCCTAACCCTCAGGCACTTGGATTTAGACGTCAAACAACCTTCAGTCATTTTCCCTAACGTGCAAGTGTATGGCACCACACCCACAGGTCAGCGGTGTAGAATTACTTCATCAGCTGAAGAACAGCTTGAGATCCTTGGAGCCCAGGTTTCCCACGGAGAATATACGGACAGGCTCAGTATGGGAGGACACCGGGTGGCCAGAGCACAGTCTCCACAGTAAGTGATATTATAAAAGTATTCAGCTGAGTGTGGGGTTGCGTACCTATAATTCAGCTGCTCGGGAGGCTGAGGCAGGAGGGCCGCAGGCTCAAGGCCAGCCTGGGTAATTTAGTAAAATCCTGCCTTAAAATAAAGGCAAGGGGGACGGCTCAGTGCTAGAGCACTTGCCTGGTGTGCACAAGGCCCTGGCTCCAACCCCAGTTGGAAGAAGGGCAGTTTTCAGAAATACTGTTCGCCTTTTATGTGTCTGCATAGACCTGAGTTTCCTTCCATCGGGGCTGGCTCTGCCTCACCTGAGAACACTCAATCTTCTGCCAAGGCTACCAGTTGTACAGTAGGGTCCTGATGGAGGACAGAAACACAAGGCGGGTACTCAGTTTGTCATGGATGGGGCTGGCCCAGTGCTACATATGGGTTTTCTCGGTAGTTTTTAGGTGATTATTCTAAAAGGGAATTCTAGCTGGGTATGGTGGCACACACGTGTAATCCCAGCACTTGGCAGGATTTCAGCATGTTCAAGGCCAGCCTGGGCTACAGAGGGAGTTCAAGGCCAGCCTGAGATATATAGCAAAACAAACAAATCAAGGCAGCCTGAATCACGGAGTGAGACCTTGACTCAAAAAACAAAAGGGCCAGGAATTTAGCTCAGTGGTGCCTCAGTCTGCCTCATAAGCACAAGGTCCCAAGTTGGATCCCCCATACCAAAAACCAAAACCAAATAAAAAGAGCTTGGGGGTGGGGTGGGGAGTGAGATAAAATAAAATTTATTATAAAAAAATAAATAAAATCTAGCACCTGGCAGGCGGATCACTACAAGTTTGTGGTCAGCCTGGGTTACACAGTGCGAACCTGTCTCAAAAACACACATGCACACATACACACACCTTTCCTTTTTTTCTTTGGAGATGCCCTTGCTATGTAGTACAGGCTGGCCTTGAACTCACACTGATCCTCCTGCCTCAGGCTCCAGACCCAGCTCTGCCTTTTTCAAATCCGATTCCTTCCCTCACACCACAGGCATGGCTTGCACTGTGGCAGTGAGGCGGGACCCATGATCATTCCCTAAGAAGCTGGTTTTGCTGAGCCAGGAATGTTTTCTGCAGGGGCACAGGGCTGGGAGAGTTCCCGGAACTTGGGGGCATCCCTCAGAAGTGAAGGGGGACTATTTTTAGCCAGTGGGGTAGAGACAATTGGCCTGGAGAGTCCAAGGGTTTACCAGTATCTTACATGGGCCCTGGCGAGAAGCTGGACTGCGATAGCTCCAGCTGCAGGCACCCAGGAGGAGCCCTGAGCGCTCTGGGACATAAAGGGCTCCTCGGCAGGGAGCTTCTGCTCAGCTGACTAGTTGATGGCTAAGTGCAGATGGAACAGAAAGGGACCCTAATAAGCACAAAATCTTTCTTAGGGAGAAGCCGGCCCTCCAACATGCACACAGGTGACAGGACTTTTCCAAGCAACCTGGAGCAGGCAATTTCCATTTAATTTCTTCTCTAGGAGGAGATACATATGAGAGAAACAGGCTGGCAGGGCTGTGGGGTCTGGAGAGATAAGGGGACCGGCTTTAATGTGCCCTCCATGCCTGTGGGCGGGCAGTGATATCCTGAGAGGGACCCGTAGTACTAACACATGGCTGCTGTTAGGGTGTCCCTGACTATGACAAGAGCACTTCAGCACCATTTACACCATTAAAAGAAAACAACAGAAAAGGAAATTTACCTCACCTCCAGGAAGGAAGGCAGGAGGAACAGAATTACAGGCTTTCTATTCCTTAGGTCCTCTGGACTACTCCGATCTGCATTTCCCTTTCCTTCAAATGCTTTGACTATGAACACAAACTTCCTTCAGTCAAGCCAAACATAACGTCTTTTTTTTTTTTTCTTTTTGGTACCTGGGATCAAACTCTGGTCCTTGAGCTTTTGAGACAGATGGCAGCACCTCTGAGCTAAATCCCCAGCCCTATTTTTGGTGTTTTTGAGGCAAGTTCTCACTATATAGTTCCACTTGGCCTTGAACTCACCTTGTGCTCAGGTTGGCCTCAAACATGCAGTGATCCTCCTGCCTCAGCCTTCTGAGAGAGTGCTGGGATTACAGGTAACCATGACCACACACAAATGACCTCTTACAGAAAGTGATTTGATTGCTGTATTAGCTGTGGAGCCCACAGCCTCCAACATGCTAGACACATGCTCTCCCACTGAGCTACACCACAGCCTCGTCAGTTCTGATTGTAGTAAATGACCGAGGCTGTAGGCAGTGACCTTCTAGGCAAACAACCCAACCTTGAGACGCTTGCCCCGGCAGCCTCCAGCTGTCCCCTTGCTGAGCCTGCCTGGAATGGCATGGCCTCACTGCTGTTACTCTGAGAACAGTGCTGCCCCCTGGCGTCCAAGACCCTGTCATCAACAGAGCCTCAGCTTGGTCCTCTCCGGAAGGGGGCTTAGGACTGGAGGAGGTATTCCGGGGATCTCTACGAGAGCCTGTTTTTAACCTGTGTTTTGCAACCTGATGAAATCTTAAATATTAGTTTCTCCAGTTTCTAAGATCTTTTTACTTCTAGGACCAGACATAATGGAAGCAACTGCATCCTGCAGTTTGCTCCTAGGGTCTGTGGGAACGCAGACAGTTTTAATCTCCAAAGAACATTAGAAAACATTTTAAGAGGCAGAGAGAGCATTCTTTGGCCTTAGCAATGAATAGAATGGGGGGGTGACCATGGGCAGGAAGGTGGTTGAAAGACCCTAGACAAAGTGGCCTGGCTTTATTTGTTCTGTAATAATTTCAAATTATCTACCACACATTGCAATAAGATACAATTTCAGCGGCAGAGTTGCACAATCTTTATTTCACTAAAGATGACCTTTCCTTAGGTGACAAAACAGGTTCTCACAAAGCTAACAATCCGCTTGTCCCAACTCCAACTCCCTCCTGGGAAAAACCCCTGGGATCCCTCAGTTCCATCCTAGAGGAGCTACTTACTGCCCACCTAGAGGAGCTACTTCACTAGTCACAGGGTAAAGGCTAAATGCGAAAACCCAAGAATTGTTTGAAATGATAAGGTTTTTACTTAACAGCATTTTTGGATGCTTCCACACATGCAACTTATTTTGCTTTAGCCCCGGTTCTTTGAGAAATGCAGGAATTTCACTCAAATATTAGCCTGACCCAAGACCGTTGCAAAGGTAGCTGCCTTAGTGAAATTGAGTCCTCCAACTTGCAGACACCTAGAAACTCGCAAAATGTGAACAGGAAGCAGGTTTAACAAGCCAGTCAGTAACTCTAAGTGCACGCTTGTGAAGCACAGTAAGTCACAGTGCTCAGAAGTGCTCTGACACGGTGGGTCAGCGCCAGAGCAACTCTTGTCCTATGCTGCAGAAGACAGTGATGCTCCGTGAGCTGTGGGCTAGGTCTTGTTATCCCCACTGGGTGGGAAAGGGTGAAGGGAGCGGCCAAAGGTAGCAAGATGGTCAGTGTCTGGCTGGGTACCACACATGTGCAGTCTTCTAAAGGGAGATAGATTTACACTGAATACAATACTGTGATTAGTGACAAGATGTTCACCAATGCTGTACTTAAAACTGGAGGAAGGCCAGGCATGGTAGTGCAGACCTCTCATCCCAGTACTTGGGAGGCTGAGGCAGGTGCACTGAAATTTCGAGTCCTGCCTGGGTAACTTTGTGACTTAGCAAGACTGTCTTCCCCCAACCCCCCCAAAAAGGGCTGGGGGTGCATCAGTGCAAAGGCCCTGGTGTTCATCAATTCCCAGTACTGGGGGAAAAAAAAAGTTTAAGGGGAACCGAGATTAAGGACTTCAGGTTCATATAAATCTCTTTCAAATGCAAAGTTCTCCTAATTTTCCTTGTTTACTTAGGGGAAAGCAGAGAATAATCTTGATATGGCTTCAGAAACAAACATATCAATCCCATTTGCAGGAATATACCCAAAGGAATTGAAAATAGATATTCAAACACACACTCATACACAAATGTTCCTAAGGGCACAATTCACAATAGCCAAAAGATGAAAACTCAAGATGTTCATCAACATTTAAACAGAATAATGCAGTTTCTCTACAATGGAATATTAGCTGGCTGTGAAAAGGGATGAATACTGAAAAGAGCCCACTACATGAGAGAAGCCAGACACACAAGGTCACCTCCTGTGTGGTCCCATTTATGGGAAAGAGCTGGAAGAGGTGAAGCCTCAGTTGCTGGAGGGCTGGGAGAAGATGGTAGTGAGGACTGAGTGCTCTAGCGATGGACAGTCCCTGCTGGAGTGGTGGGAGGGCTTCAGAATGGGACGCTGGTGAGAGCTGCACTACACTGAACAAATAAATTGAACGCATAAATCAGTATAGAAAAAACAGCCCAGAGCCGGGCGTGGTGGTGCATGCCTGTCATCCCAGCACTCGGGAGGCTGAGGCCTCCTCACTCTCTGTGAGTTCAAGACCAGCCTGAGCTACACAGTGAGTTCCAGGTTTGTCTCAACTACACAGTGAGACTCTATCTCAAAAAAAAAAAAAAAAAAGTAGAAAAAACAGCCCATTAGCTGGGCACAGTGGCACATGCCTATAGTTCCAGCCACTGAGAAGGGTGAGGCAGGAGGATCACTTGAGCTCAGGAGTCTGAGGCCAATGCGGGCAACACAGTAAGGCTCTCCAAAAAGAAAACAACAAAATGTTAAAAGTTCTCAATAAGGCATTAATGTAGCTGAGGTCCTCTAATTTGTTGGCAAAGCACCTAGTAGAATTTAGAGTATATGAGAAGCATTACAAATGTGGCAACTTGTATAAAGCGCAAAAGAAAAGTAATACACAGAAACAGACCGAATACAGAACGGCCAGTGCCTGGGAAACCAGCCGGTGCGCATGCGCAGGATGCGTCTGTGCCCTTAACCAGGCAGGGAGGTGGGGACACCTCGAGAGAAACCTGCTTTCCTCAGAACTCGTTTTGTGTTCCCCGAAACTGCGGCGTTAATAGCAGAGCACTGTTCCCACTCAGCCTGGCAGGAGGTCGGGCCCAGGGAGGCCTCTGGCTACCACTTCCTATGGCTGCCCTAGTGAAAGTGCGCGGGTTAGGTGTTGGGACCCAACGGGGCGCCGTGGTTCCAGGCAGAGATCCCGGGACACAATGGCCCCCAGTTCATGCCGCCCCCAGGCAGACGCGCCTCGGAGCCCAGGCAGCGTTGGGCCGGACACTGAATGCTCACAGACGCTGACGTGCACGACTACAAGTTAATTATTTTTTGAAGCATTACAGAATGTTGAATTAAAATTGAACCCACACCCCCGACTCTTATCCTAGCTCCTTCTCTACTGTGACTGTAAGCAAATCACTCATTCACTCTTTCTTCTTCTTCTTTTAAATTTCTTTTTTGCTGCTCTGGAAATCACACCCGGCGCCTTGAGCATGCTAGGCGGGCACCACATTCGCGAGCCTCACCTGCTCCGAGTGTCAGTTTCCGTTTTGTAAAGTGAAAGTGATTTCTCAGATCGCTCAGAGCCCTAAAATCTAGGAACTCTGTGGTCTGGTGATGCTGCGGCTCCTTCACACTGGGAGGGAGAAAAGTGAAGGACAAAGGACCCTCCCGCACATTTTTTCTTTCACTACCAGCACTCAGAATCAAGGAGTCTTCATAAACAGAGAAGTCATTTTATGTATTCTCTGGCACACAGACAGATGGGGAGGAGTGAAGCCCCGCGAGTCCCTCCATCCCACCGCGGCGAGGCGGACCAGCGGAGGAAGCTGCCGAGTATCCTGTCACCCGTCCTTAGAATTTAAATGCATGTTGAGAATCTGTTTCTTTGCAATGACTCAAAATCCTCAGAAGAAAACCACCATCTATAGTAAGAACGTAACTGATACCACCAGCTGCCAAATTCTGTCATTTTTTGGCTTTTTCAACCTCACAACTTGCCAGAGCGAGGACTTTGTCTCCAGAGCCTAAGAGAGAGACACATAATAACAAGTTTATTCCCAACACACAGAGAGGGAGCACAGAATTAGCCCTGTACTTCCCTCAGCCACCCAACTTCCTTCCCTCTGTACAAACAAGCCAGCCACAAAGAGAGGCTTCTTGGTTATGGACTCTTAACTCCAGCTCACTCCAGATATGAAACAGAACAAACTTCCAGTTCATTTTCGCAGTTACACCTAGTGGACAAGGACTTGAAAATCTCAGGCAGCGAAGCTGCTCATGTCCACAATCGGCCACCCAGGAAGTGAGGCCTGGGTCACTGGAGCCCAGGAGTCTGAGGCTGGCCTGGGACACACAGCCACCACCTCCTTTAAAAACAAAGACAAATACTGCCCAGGAATACAGCTCAGTGGCACCGCGCCTGCCTGGTGAGCACAAGGTCCTGAGTGCAACCCTCAGTACAAAAACAAAAAAAAAAGACAAATATTATTAAAAAAAGATATTGGGCTGCATAATTTAATTCTGTTTAAAAATATTGGGAAGCCAGCAATTTAGCTCAGTGGTTCTGCTGCCTGCCTTGCAAGCACAAGGACCCAAGTTTGATCCCCAGTGCCAAAAAAAAAAAAAAAGTATTGGGAAATAAAACCAATACGAATAATTTATAAAGAAAATAATCAATTCTGGTGTCACTGTAAATCAAGAAAAGGTTGGGCTGGGGATTTAGCTCAGTGGAGCCTTGCCTGCCTTGCAAGCACAGGTCCTAAGTTTGATTCCTGGTACTGCCAAAAAGAAAAAAAAAAATCAAGAAAAGGTCATCACTTGACTCACACACCTCTTATCCATGTGGAGCAGTAACTGTACCCCACTTTCAGATGTGAGAGCGGGCACAGTGGGGGAGAAACTCAGCAGCAGAGCTCTGCTTAGCAGCATGAGGCCCTTGATTTCAATCAGCGGCACCAAAACCAAACAAACACATTTAAAAACTACCTTTTCTTCATCCACTCATCTGCCGATGGACATGGAGGTAAACTTCCAAGACTTAGCTATCATGCATCAGACACACAAGCTGAAATACTACATGGTTTCTCTCAGATGGGAAACCCAGAATATAAATACACAAAAGAGCAAAATAAATGACAGGCAGTAGGAAACTGGGAGCTACAACTTTTGCAGATGGGAAGGGAACCAAGAGGAGGAAGGAAGGAAAGTGAAAAGAACTGAGTGTGTTCCACACACACACCAGCTCCCCACAGTGAGCGCAATTATTGTGCACTGCAAACATGGACTGATAAAAAGTACAAAAAAAAAAAAAAAAAAAAAAGAAGGGAAAAGAAACAGGAGGGCACTCACCGAGGTCCGAGGAGACTTTCTCAAACTGGCTGAGGACAGCACCTGCGTTTGCAGACAGGAAGGCCTCGTCATCAGCAGTCAGCTAAGCAAAATGAGACAGAGCCCAGGGGACAGGTTCAGATGTCGCATGGGTTCCCAGGACCACAGTTAAGAACGTCTCAGGGTGCAAACCCGAGCGTGGGTCAGGAAGTTCTGTAACAAACACACCCCACAGTTTCTCACACCTAAAACCATCACTTAAGTTCAGTACTTTCTCGGGCTAAGGATTTAGCTCAGTGGTTCCACCGCGTGCCTTGCAAGCACAAGGTTCCGAGTTCAATCCCCAGTACCAAAAAAAAAAAATTCAGTACCTTCTCTCCAAGCTTCCGGAGCGCCGTGAGGATCTCCACCTTCTGCTGGGTGTACAGGTCTCTCTCCAGCTTGCCCACCATCAGGTCTCTGTCCATCTGCAGGGGTGATGCAGGCACGTGGAAGAGGAAACTTTCAGAGCATGGAACCCAGCTTTCCTTCTTAAAGAAAACTGTCTAGGTGATTTGTATTATAAAGAATTCAAGGGAGGAGGGGGAAGGGGATGAAAAAAGAATTCAGTTGTGTTACATCCCCGTACCAACTCCTCACAATGAATGTAACCATTATGTCCTATGAATGTGTATTAAAAAAAAGTATTATAAAGAATTATAAGCTGATATGGTGGCACATGCCTAGCATCCCAGTGCTAGGGAGGCTCAGGCAGGAGGATCACCTTGAGTTAAAGGCCAGCCTGGGCTGCATAGTTAGACCCTGCCTCAATAAAAATTATAGAGATGCTAGGTGTGGTGCTGCACACCTGTAGTCTCAGCGCCCTGGAAGGCTGAGGGAGGAAGAGCACATGTTGGAGCCCAGCCTGAGAGTCTCACAATGAAAAATAGACAGGGTTTGGGATGTAGCTCAGTGTGAAGACCAAAAAAGAATTTCGGAAATACTCAAAGATGAACACGACAGAAATGCTGTTATGTAGTTTTAATAAATTTTAATGCTAATCACAATCACCGTCTTAGTTATAAACTAGGAACATTGGTAGGCCAACACCACCTTCCTCTGGAGAAGAGCTATCATTGACTAAGTGTTTACTACTGAAGTACGGTCTACCGCAGTGGTGTGAACCTATGGGCACGTGTGTGGCAGCCGGCTGTGTGAACTGCTGAAAGCTCTAAAAGGCTCGCCATCATTCCTCTATAGGCTGGGACAACGTAAGTGAAATTTAAATTAATATTTCCCTTCCCATCAGAAACACTAATATATGTAGCATATCTTGATACTATTTTAAGTGTACTTATGTGTCTATTTAATTACTTATTTACTTATTTGAGTCAGGGTCTTACCATGTGACATATCCCACCACACCTGGCTCTCTAAGTGCTTTAATTTACTTTTTTCTTTCTTTTTTTTTGGTACCAGGGATCGAACTCAGGACCTTGTGCTTGCCAGGCACGCATTATGCTAAGTGCTTTAATTAAATTAATTAGTTAATTAATTTTTATACTGCTGGAAGGCCAGGGATGTAGCTCAGTGGTGCTGCACCTGCCTAACAAGTGCAAGGTCCTGAGTTCGATCCCTGGTACCGGAAAAAAAAAAAAAAAAGATATGTTGCTGGGGATCGAACCCAAGGACTTGCACATGCTAGGCAAATGTTCTACCACAGAGATTCATGCCCAGCCCTTTTTAAAAAATTTTTTTTGAGATACAGTCTCCGATGTTGCCCAGGATAGCTTCCCACTTCTGGGTTCAAGTGATCCTCTTACTCCAGCCCCTCAATTAGCTGGAACTACACATCCACACAACCACACTTGGTTTCTCAGTGTTTTTACACACGTTACTTCATTTTATCCTCATGATGACCACGAGAGACAGAACTACTACTGCCACCTTTTTATAGGGAGGGAAACTGAGGTACAAAGAGTAAATAACTGGGCTGGGGATTTAGCTCAGTGGTGCTGCTCCTGCCTCACAAGCAAGCACAAGGACCTGAGTTTGAACCCTGGCACCAAAAATAAATAAATAAATAAATAAGTTTAAAAAAATAAAGAACTTACTAAAGCTCACATACCCCTGTATATGGAATAAGATAAGACTCAAATCCAGCCAATCTAATTTTGTCAAAAGAATTGTAGATTGTGGATCTAAAATCAACTGGCTAATTTTTAAGGTGTAGGCTAAATGAGCAAATTCTCAGGCTAGGAAGAAATCCAATCAACGAAAGGCACTTTACCTCTGCTAACCTTGTCCGAAGCTGACCGGGTTGCTTCTTTGCAAACAATCTGATGACCTCTGGGGTTTTGAAGGCCTGGCTGATGGCCGCCTGAATAGCCTGGAAATGAAGGGAGGTAAAAGCTAAGCAAAACATGCCAGCGAGTCAGATCTGCTGTCACGCCAGCCGACCTTCATGAATGGGTCTTTGTGCATCCAGACTGTTACAAAATCAGTCTTCATTTACCATTTCTGTGCCTGTCTCTGGAGCTGCACACACAGGACCTGCCCCAGTGTGCAGGAGGCGGACATTCATCCAGAACACAAACCCAAGAGGGGAGCATTTTCTACCAGAAATACACACATCTCCGAGGGGAAAGGAAACAGAAAACCCTGCTTACCAGCTGCATTCCACTTAGCTCATCCACCAACGTCATGTTTCCAGACATAATTTTCTTCAGAGAATCATTAAATTCACTCAGCTGCTCCAGAGTTTCCTTTTTGGTCTCTTCATATTCATCTGTATCAAGTTCGTCTCTGAGGTTAGTGAGCACCGGAATGCAGAGAAATGGAGTTCCAAGGGGAAAAGGCAATCTTAGTGCTTGCCAGAGAAGGCTGAAGGGAAACAGCGCTGGATCCAGAGTCGGAGCAGTTATGGTCACTTTCTCACAATGTTTAGATTGATAGTAAAACATTTTTCTTTCACCAAAATCAGTCATATTTAACAAACATACAATAAATTCTTTTTTTTTTTTCTTCAAAGACCCAGGATCTTTGAACTGAGTGCTATATTCCCAGCTGTCTCTCTCTTTCTCTCTCTCTCTCTCTCTCTCTCTCTCTCTGTCTGTTTTGGTACTGGGAATCGAACTTGGGATCTTGTGCTTATAAGGCAGGCAGCGGAACCACCGAGCTAAATCCCCAGCCCTATTCCTTTTTTTTTTGAGGCAGTATCTCATTGTGTAGCCCAGGCTGGCCTATAACTCATGGCAATCCTCCTGCCTCAGCCTCCTGAGTGCTGGGATTATGGGTGTGAGCCATCAGGCTGGGTTTAAAAAGACTGCTTGCACAAAGTGCTATGTATTTCTTGGGTTTTTCACAACCCCCTCAACAGATCACCCCTGAGGACTACTGTTAGCCCTGTGCAGATCAGAAGGAAAGAGCATACCAAAGTCATGTTGGATGTGTGGCTGACTTATTTCTGACAAGGATTTAGAGCAGCCAAGAGTAAGGTAAAACAAAAACAAAAACTACCACCACCAGGCCAGGCATGGAGGTGCAGGCCTGTAATTCCAGCACTTAGGAGGCTGAGGCAGGAAGATTGCTGTGAATTCCAGCCTGGGATATATAGTGAGTTTAAAGCTAGCTGGAAATGCTTAGTGAACAACAAAAACAACAAAAAACACCACCAAGAGAGCCCCAGACCAAAAGCTGAGCTTCCGTATCTTTCTGGTGTGGGCAATGGAGTCATGGGGCTCCCAGCTCTGAGACACCAGGACCATCTCTTACACTGGTCTCTCAGCTGCTTTGGGACAGTCCCAGGCTCAGAGCTACCACTGCTCAAGGGCAGCCTCTCCCCGGTGATGACACTTAGTCAAGTGAACCATGGCGCCCAGCGCCCACCTCTTCTATTTTTTTGTTTGTTTGTTTGCTTTTTTGAGACAGGGTCTCACTATGTAGTTGAGACTGACCTGGATGTAACTCACCATGTAGCCCAGGCTGGTCTTAAAATCAGCGATCCTCCTGCCTCAGCCTCCCAAGTGCTGGGATTACAGGAGTGCGCCACCACACCCAGCTCTTCTATTTATTTTTTTGAGACAGGGTCCCACTAAACTGCTAAACTGCCCAGGCTGGGTTCAGAACTTTCTATCCTCCAGCCTCACTGCTGGGATCACAGGCTTGCCTGCCACACCTGGCTAGAGCAACCTCCCAAAGTCTGTGCCATGGCCTTGGGCCGGGTGGCGAACACGGCCAAAAATATCAGTTCATCTGTATGGCTCTAGGTAACTATGGTACCCATCAATTACGGTTGCTGGGAATATTAAATGAGATAAGGAATGTGCTAGGCATACACAGCAACAGGTATTTGCTGAGGGCAGGAAGCATTTTGTATACTCTGCAAACGCTGCCTTTGTCATCTGAGTAAGCTAATGTTTTTATTACTAAATATTTGTTCCAAGGAACAGTATTCCCACTTACAGAGCCCCCACTTATTGAGCATCTACTCCAGCCAAGCGCTGTGCTGCCCCGAGGTGTCATATTTCCCACAACTTGCAAGGCTCTTAAAAGCTGCAATGAGCACTCTGCTTCTTTTTGTATTTTTGGAGCTGGGGACTGAAGGCCTCAAGCGTGCCAAGTATCCACTTTACCACTGAGCTCCATCCGCAACCCAGGGCCCATCCTCTGAGCAGTCGGGGCTGCAGCCAGACCCCAGGGTCACACCATGCAGCCTGGTTTACACACTGAGGAGCGAGGCAGGATTGTTTCAATTTCACAGAGATTAAGTGCTTTCCCAAGTTCACATGCACTTAGGAAGTACTTAAAAGACTTCCACAGCCCAGGCTTTTGGACTCTAAAGCCTGCACTGAGTTTATGTCTCCAAAAGACAAAGCACTGTGAAAAACACTGCAGGGGAAACTCGAATTGCACAGAGGGCTGCATCCAGGAAGTCTGCAATCTAACTGCAGAAGGAAGTCGCTGAGCAGCAGAACAGCGCACAGCCGTACTATTACCTGCATTCCTCCAGGTCTTGTAACTGCTGCATGAGTCTATCCAGCTGTTCTTCTAAATTCTGCTTCAATTTGCTTGTCTCCATCTTTCCTCTGGAAGCCATTTTAATCTCTATGTAGAACAATGAACCCACACGCGGTATATTGTATTTGGTAACCTGAAGAGATTTAAGATATCAGTGTGATTTAAAATTAATTACATTTAAATCTAATTTAAACTTAAAGGTGACATTCCTTCTTAGTTCCTTGTATGGGAAAGATTATTATACGAATAAATAAAAATCTCAGCTGAGGTATTCAAGTTTAAACTCATACAGTACTAACACCCCACAAAAACCGCCCAAGAGTATTTACATTTGCAATCCCAGGGACAGAATCCTGGGTCTCGCACCTGCTAGCAAAGTACTCTGCCCTGAACCACATTCCCAGCCCCAGTGGTCTTCCTGACTGACTGGACAACTTCATTAGATGTCTTTGCTATCGGTCCCATCTTACCTAAAACAAACTTGGTAAAGGAACACACATACTTATAGAGGACTAGGTTAGATGTGACTTGGCTTTCTACAATGATTTATAATGAATTTTTAAAAATAAACCCACATAATGTAGTATAGTATTCCATTTTATTTATTTATTTATTTATTTATTTATTTTTTTTTT